GGTATTTAAAAGTAACAAAATATATAACATATGTGTGATCCAACGTTAAAGAAGATATTGGAGAAAGCTAGGAAAATCCACCTGTTGCTTCAAAGAAAAAGCTGCCCTCCCTCCAAAAAATTATTAAATGTGGGGTGTTAACAGGAAAAGTTTTCCATCATGTGCTTCACACCAGCCTTGTGCTACGGTTAGCAAAGCCTGCTTTTTGACCAATGAAATTCCTTACAGCAACTGCAAATACGTAGGTTGTGGAAAACAGTGACAAAGATATTCCTATGGTGGGGGGGAGGGGGGAAGGCAGAATATCAGTGATGATAAAGAATTTGACCATAAGAAAACTATTTACTCTGTAATCTCTATAAAATACGGAATTCCATATTAGGGCGAGACCCAGTTTACTGCATGTACTTTCTGTCTTCAGAAACTGCTTTCCCTTTTCCCAGTGTTAAAACGGTCTCGAATGTGCTTTGGTGCCACCCACTGGCCATAAGTGGAATTCAGTTTTTGGCTTAATTTTCTCCTAAGCTAGGTCTCAAGCCTGTATTTTGTAATAGAATATATATAAAACAAAAACCTTGCATATGTAAGATTCTGTTTTTCTTATAACTCTACCATATGAAAGCAGCATGAGAGTGGTCACAGACATGCTTTGCAACAAAGTTTTAATTAGAATGTAAATTGTTTAATTATACTGTATTTCCTATATATGTATAATTTTCATAAAGTATTTTGTAAAAATCCTTAGAATAAATTATTATGACTTAAATGTATTGTCAAATTAGTCTGACTTCTTATTTTAAATGAAATACTTTATGTTAGGGATCCTAAAATCTAAATTCCCTAGCAAGGCTAAAGAAGTTCTGCTAGGCTAATATTTCTCCAGTATTTATTACACACTGGACATGATTTCCTCTAAGTGGGCAGTTTTGGCTATTTTATTAGAGGCTTTACTTTTTATTTTATCTTTTAAAAATATATTTTATTGATTTTGTTACAGAGAGGAAGGGAGAGGGATAGAGAGTCAGAAACATCGATGAGAGAGAAACATCAATCAGCTGCCTCCTGCATACTCCCCACTGGGGATGTGCCCGTAACCAAGGTACATGCCCTTGACCAGAATCGAACCTGGACCCTACAGTCGGCAGGCCAACGCTCTATCCACTGAGCCAAACCGGTTAGGCCGAGGCTTTTTGAAAATAATTGAAAAGCTTTGAAGAAAACACATTCTTG